GGGTGTGGGTGGGTGTGGGTGTGGTTGCCGGTGGCAATACATGAACATCAACACCTACATCCACACCCACACCCACACCCACACACTCTAAAGAAAATAGGTATCCTAGAAAACCCTTAGAGGGTTTTTGAATTTGTTACTATAGGAAACCCTTTAAGGGTTTCCGAGGTCTCGGAAACCCATAATGCCCAGTATATCGAAACCTCAAATACTCATTCGGAAACCCAAAAAAACGTTTCCGAATGGAAAAAAGCTGTAGCTAGCTACTCAGAAAGAAGGTGTCATACTGAACCTTTTAAAGTTCTAGATTTGGGTACCATTTTCCGAACCATTTAAGGTTTAATCAAAACTGGTTCTAGAGTAGTAAAATGTAGTCCACCACATTCGATTACTCTAGTACTGGCGAGTACTGCTATAACCAACTGTTAATTTCATATTTAACCCCTTATTTCTATCTCTAAACCTTAATTCTATCCTTAACCCTTAAACCTATCCTTAGCCCTAATTCCTATCTTTAACCCTTAAACCTATCCTTAACCCTTAAACGTATCCTTAACCCTTAAACCTATCCTTAACCCCAATTCCTATCCATAACCCCAATTCCTTTCCTTAACCCCAATTCCTATCCTTAAACCCAATTCCTATCCTTAACCCTTAAACCTATCCTTAATCCTAATTCCTGTCCTTAACACTTAAAATTATCCCTAACCCTTATTTCTATGTGTTATATTTACCTACAGGGTGTCCCAAAAGTCCCCAACAAAAGTTTTTGTAAATATCTCTTATACAATTTCAGCGATTTCATCGATTTTTTTATAACATGATATCATATTCTTTTAAGTTTTATTTTAATAACAAGACCGTTAACAGATACTATTTTGAACTGTCACTTTTGACTTCAATATCCAAGTGTACCCACTTTCGATTTCTAAACTAACATTTTCGAAGGAAATTTCCCGAGATACTTATTCCGACCTGAAACGTTGACCAAATCGAGGGCTCACTCAGACTAGCTTCGGTATAAAATTTCAGAAGTTTTCGATGTAGTTTTTCTGAGATATGAATTTTTCAAAATTTAGGCGTTTGTCCCTGTAACTTTTGCAAAATTTGAAAAATGCATATCTCAAAAACACTAGATCCAAAAGTTCTAAAATTTTGCACAGAAGCTAATCTGGGTGAGACTTCGCTTTGGGCAAAGTTTCAGGCCAAAATTCGAAACTATAATTGTCTTTTGAAAATGGGGGTCATCATGAACATAACCCACTAAAAATTTCATATCTCAGCCAAAACTGCATAAAAGCATGAACCTTCTGGAGGTCGTTGTAGTAGAGTGGTCCTGTAGCAAAAGGAAAAATATGACCTGAAAAGCGTCTAATCATCATATGGGCTCAACAGCTTTTCATCATCTCGGGTACTCGTATTTTTGAAAAATCGAAAATGGATACATTTTGATATTGAAGTCAAAAGTGACAGTTCAGAATAGTATCTGTTAACGATTTTGTTATTAAAATAAAGCTTAAAAGAACATGCTATCATGTTATTAAAAAAACGATTAAATTGCTTGAATTGTATAAGAGATATTTACGAAAATTTTTCTTGGGGACTTTTGGGACACCCTGTAGATTTGTTGCGAGCACAATCAGAGCCAGCGCTTCGTTCTCTATTCGCACAAAAAAGGCATTGCCGTTACGTGTTGTTGAGACGATCCTAAACAAAAAGAAGAAGAGTAACTTATATTGTAAGATTGAACTTACCACTGAATTGATTATTTACAAATTCCCAAATAGGTACCAACATTAACTCATTTAATTATATTGAACTTGCATTTCAATTGATTATTGCTACATACCTAAATAAAGAAAATATTGAAGTCATTTAATCAGATTGCAGTTACCTTTCTATCACTAATTGTGACATATCAAAATAGGTAACAGAATAATCACATTTTATAAGTTACCACTTATTATTGAATTGCTCATCGAGACACACATGCACAGGTTCATGAATCCGACAATGGGATCTGATCGGAGCCGGCCAGATCCCACAGCATTCTGATCGAATCCCCTCGCATCTTATAAGGATCCGATAGGAATACATCGAATGCCAGGGTTGAATAATCCGACTCGGATTCCCAGGATCGAAATCGATGATGGTGGATTTGGATTTCTGGACCTCAATAACCTATTTCAAACTTTGATCAGAATTCAGATCGGAGTTGAAATAAAAAGTCTAACTTTGCGGCCGTCGAATTTTTGGTGGATCCAATTTCTGACTAATGGGAGCTCGGATCGAAAAAAAGATGACGGATTCGGATTCCTAGACCTCGATAACCTATTTCAGATTTACATTAGTTAAATCATGTTCAGAAAATATCACATCTTGGTTTTAGGCAGAACCATTTTGGAAAAATGATTCAGCGTAAAAAAATGGTGCAAGACAGAACCCTTTCAAACACCCGGAACTATGCATGATCTGAAATGGTTCTTTAAAGTCGCTAGAACCCTCGATGGTTTATTAATAAACGAATAAAACCTTGAAAGGTTCAGTATCTTCGGTAGAAGCATTTTTGAGTCCAAATGGTTCAGTATGGCGCCTTTTTTTCGAGAGTACGAAATGTTTAAATCATCGGAAACCCTTTAAAATGTTCAATGAAAGTTCGGACTCCTATTTTAGTTGACTGTGAAACCATTTTCAATCTAGGTATTTTCGTAAACCCATTTTGGATTCTTATGATACCCTTTTGAAATTGGGTTTTTTCGGAAACCGTTCAAGAAATGAAAAGATATTTTCGCATACCCTTTCGAATACTAACTCAGTTTTTCTTCTAATATGGGTTTTCGACAATACCTTTCCAGTTTCCGAGACAACATTTGGGTTTCCGACAGCAAGAAAAAGGTATTCTAGAATACTTTTAGAGTGTTCAATTGGGGAGTATAGGAAACTTCTAGGTTCCCGAACGTTCGGAAACCGAAAGGGTATTTTTAGAAACGCTTTTACTGTTCTGAAACCCTCTCGGAAACGGATAAGGGTTTCCGAGTGGGTTTCCGAACCCCTTTCGGTTTTCTAGGATACGGAAATTTCTTAGAGTGCCCCCACACTCACCCGCACCCACACCCACACCCACACTCACCCGCACCCACACCCCCACCCCCACCCCCACCCACACTCACCCGCACCCACACCCACACCCACACCCACTTAAACCCACACCTACACACCCTACACCCACATCCCACACCCTCACACTCACACCCTCATACCCACACACACCCACACCCACACCCTGATTTATCGATCTGCTAAAATTTTAATAATAGACGATAAAATTACAATTTTTTTTTAAAACTTTTTAAAGTGATTTTATTGATTAAATTTAATATGATTAATAATATTTTCGATTTATGATTTAATTTGACCATAATAATTCTTTTTTCTTTATTTATTTAATTGAAAAACAAATGTTAAAAGATACAGAAAACGAAAAATGATTTTTTTAAATCACGAAATGAATGCGAAGTGATACATAACAATACAAATTCATTTTAAGGAATACATGTCAGATATAGGGAGAAATTACAAAGACAAAACAGAACAACAAATAAATGCATCTCTCTAGTTTAAGTTTTTTTATATGGATAATGAATCAATTTAGGTATAACACTTCGTATCTTTGTTTATATGCCTCAACAAGAGCATTTCCTTTTGAATCTCCACCAATATTTTTTAAAATGGCTTCTGTAATTAAATTTGTTAGCATATTCGCTCCTGAAGGAGAGTTAATATCTAGCAGATGGCATTGTCCTCCTGTTTTCTGAGCGATCTCGTTAAAACTATCTTTTGCACGTTTATCAACAAAAAAAGCATGAACTGGAATTTTATTTGAAATGAATTTGGTTAATTCATCTTCATAATAAGTCTCCTGTGAAAATTTAGTTTTCGTCCAATAATTTTCTCCGCTCTTACTTCTTTGCTTTTTTACTTCATCTTTTGTATTTGGAGGTGCATCACCGATTAAAATGACTTGTGTTATTTTTTCTCTCGTATTTTCGTTGTTTGCATGCCAAAGACCAATTTCAATGGCTTCATTTCCATCACCCCCTTCAACATTGATGGTGTTCATAAACGTTCTTAAATTATCTGCTCTCGTTTCCCAAGGAGAATATTGAAGGATCTTATCTTCTGTGCTATTATAGTTTCTATAGACAACAAATTGAATTTGAAATGAATCTTCAATAATATTGTGGTCTCGTAATATTTCTATAGTGCGCTCGAACATTGCTCCTACTGTATTTTTGCAATTGTTTAAAAGATGAGTCATTGAACCTGTCGCATCCATCAAACAAATTGTTCTTGATTGATTACAAACTATATTAGCTCCTTTATTTTTCTCGACTAAAAATTTTCTCACATAATCTATATCTGCACTTTGGAAATGTTTGAGAAATTCTTCAGTGGCTTCATGTTCTTTTTTCGCTTGTTCAACATATTGTGTATTATTCATATATTTCTTTTCGAATAAATCTTTACGTCTATTATCAAGAAGTTCATATAGTGTACAATAAGTTTTTGTAAAACTAAGCTTAGGTTGAAGACGATCGATTACTCCTTTGCCTTTTTTAATATTTTCAATATCTTCTTTCTGAATAAGAAATTTCTCTAAATCTTGATCAAGTAATACTAAACTATAGGATCCATGATCGCCTTGTCTAGCAGTTCTTCCTTTGATTTGTACTTCTTCTGAATATTCTTCAGAGAGAAATGTTTGAATAACATGTGTTCCACCGTTATGTTCAACAATCTTATCGTGGCATATGAAATCTGTTCCTCTGCCGAAAGTTCGTGTGAATAATGTTATTTGATCGGATGTAGTCGCACATCTTATAGCTTTTTCTTTTTCATCTGAAGTTGCTTCTTCTGTTAAAATATGAACCGAATACTTAATTTCCTCTAATGCTTTCGATTCATAGAATTCATTTAATCTTTTTACAGATTCAAAAAAAACCAAAACAGCCCGTTTTTCTCCTGATTTTCCAACTAATCTATCATCAATTTCTTTTCTAATAACATTAAAATAATCATCAATGTTTTCAATCATAATGTCATCTTTTTCTGTAAATTTGAGGTTATTTTTACCAAACATTGATGGAATAAATGTAAGTTTTTCAATTTTATAAACAGTTTTCATGGTTTCTTTTTCAATATTACTAAGAGTTTTCAAAGTACCTGAAACGCCCATAATGAACTTAAACTGAAGTGGAATCTCAGCATAAGAGAAATTTCCACACTTTATGTTTATACTTATTCTTTCTTCTAAACTTGATTTCGTTATTTTTCCTTTTTCGTGTTCACAATAATACACGAATAAAGTTTTATAACCATACACAATATTGTAAACAATCTTATCTTGTTCTTTATATCCAATTTTATCTTCTTTAACAACATAATCATGAGAGTCAAAACTATTCACATCATGAATGAGATCTTTAACAGCCTCTAGAATCAATGATTCCCATAAAGGAAATCTATTACAACAAGCTTTGTATTCATCTGTATATGTAACTTTTCTAAGACTTAATTTTGATTTTCTCTCTTTCCAAATAAAATTGATTAGAGATGTTATTGTCGGATCTCTTAAACTGGCTGATGGTGTGTAAACATTCCCATAAAAGTTCTGACTAAAGAAAACATCAACTTCGTCAATTAATAATATCTTCGCTCGTTCAGTAGGTCGTTTACATACTGGAGAATTATTTGAATCAGTCGATATAAAATGTTCTACTATTTTCCGAATTTCTCCATTTCGATTAATCATATCTTCACAGAGTTTGTTAAATGTCCCATATTGAATATATTCAGTTATATTTAATGCACCGAATAGTGGTAAAAATGCAATGCAATCTCTTTCACTTAAATACTGACTATAACATGCACAACGTACTTCAAAACCAAGCAGCGCAAGTATTGCAGCTGTGACTGCTAATATTACTGATTTTCCCTCTCCAGTTCGTATTTGTACTAAGTTATTTCTTAATTTTTCGTCTATATCATCTAGTCCTAGCATACAAAATATTGAAATAACTTGAGCTATGTGAGGTTGCAGAAGATAACTATTATTATTTCCAACATTGCCAACTTCGAAATAATGATGTGCACTTTGAAGTGTCCATAGAGCAAAAATATGAGCTAAGAGTGTAGGAATTTTATTCCGTACCGGTGCATCCCATTGAATATTATCTGAAGTTTGTTTTATATTTCCAGCAAGCATCTTCGTTTCCGAAATTAATGGATCTAGTGATGGTCGACCCTTATTAAGATACTGCTCGATTAACTTTTTATAAATATGATTAAAGTCGTCATGATTTAAGTCCTTGTCATACCTTTTTTTCAATTGCTGTGAATTAACAAATGTTCCCTTTACATTGTCTAATAAGGATTCAGAAGCATGTTTTAGAATTTTCTCATTGAATAAAGATAAAGCATAACCTTTAAATGCTTGATGTTCTGTAATGATAGAATGACCTACATCACTTGAATCTTGAATTAAAATAGTTCCTAGTTTGGAAAAATTGATTATATTTTTTTTTTGATATTTATATTTATTTAAAACTGCATCTATCCCTTCATTTATTTTATGCTTCAACGACGGAATATTATTTGAAACACGTTTCATATAAATTAAAGCATTTGAAATATATTCAATCGAATTTTCACGTAAAATGGTCTTGCTCCACGTTTGAATTCTATTCCCAATTTCTAGTTCAATATCCTCAATTATTTGACAAGGAATGTAGTCGATTTGTTTTCGAAATGATAACATATTATCAGAGTACAAATTAAAATCTTTATAATCCTGATCTACTAATTCATACTCTCTAGAGAATTTTGTTAAAAAAGTTTTAATTTTAGTAGAAATTTCTGTTATTTGTGTTTCAATTGGTCTCACGCATGATGTATAAACTGTAATTACATCAATATCGAGATCATGTTTTGCCAAAACCTTAGCTGACTCAAGAGTAATAAGTTTTTCATGAAGTTCTCGATAAAATTCATCTCTTTTTTTTGAAAATTGTTTTGTCTCATTGTTAATAATTTTGAGATCTATGATTTCATCTTTTAATCTTTGAATTTCTCGAGACACAGATTCTAGCATACTTGAATAAAGTGTTAGATCTAAAATAGCCCTTGCCATGTTACCTAATGAAGTATTACTGATATTATACCTTTGAATAATACTTTTTATCTTAATAAACAAGAAATTTCTTTTAGAAACACAACCTAAAGTAAGATTTAGGGTCTGAAAATCGATTTTTTTCAATGCATTTTTGTATTTATTTTCTTGTATCGTAAAATAATCTGATGTCTTCCTATTCAGTGTACTCAGCTTGTCTTTGAAATCTTCTGGAAACATATGATCTAGCATTGACTGGTTTCTTTGACAATCATTATTGAATTTTATAAATTCGAATAAACAAATAAAACTTGTCTCTATTTCATTAAGAATTTCTTGCGTAAAGTCCGCTATATGATTTTGTAAAAATTGATCCATAAAACAAACATATGCTTTTTCAAATTTAGCTTTTATTAAAGATCGTACGCTTAAACATGGTTGTCTAATATCCATGATAATATTTACTAATTCACTTTCATATTCATATAGAATATCTACACAAGCTAAAGCGTTACTAACATTATCTTGCTGAAAATATTGTTCGATTTTCTTAATTTTATCTTGTATTTGTTTCAAAACAAGATCCCGGCCTTTGCTAATATAGGATTGCATACCCGGTACACCTTGATATTTTTGAAGAAGTTGTTCAATAGCTTTAGGATCTTGATTTCCAATTGTTTTCTCAAATTCATTATTACTATCTTGAGCCAAAATATTAATATGTTTCTTACAATAATCTAATTCAGTTTCAAGAGGACTTCGCATATCTTCCGGTAAATATTTCACTGCAAATTCAAATGTCCGTAAATGACTATTAACTGGATTTAGAGGATTTTCCTTCTTTGCTTTTTCGAGTTCGTTTCTAAATTTAGCGAAAATCCGTTCCCTTATTGTATTAAAGGCTTTCATATATACTGGATTTGTACTTCTGGCTGCATTAAATCTATTGAAAAAGTCTGACGGTGGATTTGAAACATATTTATCAAAATCCATGTCGGAATATTTATTAACCACACCATCTAATAAAACTTGAGCTTGATTTGCATTTACTCTGTCAATCTGATCCGAAATCTCTTGTGAACAATAATTTCCCAATAAATTACGAACCGAAATTATTAGTTCAACTTTTTGTTCAGCTTCATAAAAATTATCAATATTCACGAATGCTTCAACTTCTTTTAGGAAGCGTTGTAGCTGTTTTTCAATTTTTGATTTAATATCATTTATACACTTATCTAATTCATCGGGTTTGTTGATATGGCTCAAAACAAATTGTTTTGCTCTTTGAATTTTTTTCAAATTGTTTACAATCGATTTTATTTTATTTGTATCAAAATTATTTCCAACCATAATCACTTGAATTCTGGTGTCGTCGATGAGGTTTTCCACTTCTTGATTAAGCACATGTTTAGCTTGCTCGAAAAAATGCTTTCTTGCAACGTCGCTCGATAATTCTAACACTGTTATTACACGTCCAACTCGTTCATAGTCGTGCTTCTGAATTGCATCTCCTATCTCTTTCTCAATACTATTCGTGCTTAAGGTCCATTGATTTCGATATTTCGAATAGATATCGATAAATTTTTCTCCTTCTAAAAATATATCTAAAATACTTAATGCTCTTACAATTAATAGTTTGTTGTTTATGTCTACAGTTACTCCTGATATGCAGAACTTTTCTATCTCATCCGATAAATCAATTTGATAATGGCATAATTTATCTTTCCAATGTTTAAAAATATTTCCATTTGAAAAATAGGAAAAGATACGCGAATAGTTTGTTTTGATTGCTACAATTTCTTGAAGATAATTTAATAATATTTGAGCCTTTTTAAGTATCGCATCTATACACTCGTTTTGAGTTTGTTTTATTGTTTCAAAACAACAATTCATTTCTTCTTCAACAAATTCACTATAACAGTGAATACACGCATGCAAAGTATCTAACAAAGATATGGGTTTATTCTCAAATGAAATACGATTTTCTTTGCAAATATCTAAATAATGAAATGCGTTGTCAACTTCTTTTAAATTAATATCTTGTTTTTCTTTCTTCCATTTCTCAATGTCAAATGATTTCTGTATACCATGACAAACTTCGTTCACTTCATTCCCAAACCAAGAACTAACTTCTTGTATGTATTCGTTTATATCTGGAAGAAATTTTTCTAAAGGTTTCATTTCTTTCATTCTCAAAACAATTGTATAGGCTGATTTAATTTTGTCATGATTCTCAAGATCTAAAGACAATTCCATGACAGATATTTTCATATGTTTTATATGTTCAGTAAGTTGTTCTTCAACATCTTTTATAATATCTGAGTGTTCTTCAATGCGATATTTTTCTATCCATTTAGCATCCTTTAGATTTAATAAACACTTTGTTAATTTATCATAATTAATTTTTCCTTCTCTTTGAAATAAGTTTCTCAAAAGATCTTCAACATCCCTTTTGGCATCACGAAGATATCCGACTATTTTCTCGACTATAGTAAAATGGAACTGATTAGTCTTAAGCTCAATGACAGAAATAGTTCTGATTAAATCCAATTCTTCCAAGAATTGTTTCAGTGTGTGAAATGCATCTTTCTTCTTAAACTCTGCGTCGATTTTTTTCACTATTTCGTGAAAGTAATTTAAAATTTTCGATAAAAGGTCTTGATATATCTTTTCAATCTCTTCTTTCGAGACGTGAGAGTGAAGAGCATATGTTGTCTTAGCATTTTCTAACATAAAAATGCAGTTATTTAGATTATCAATATCACTCTTATGTAATTTTTCTTGGTCAAATATATCATTTACGCTTTTGACAGAATCATTTAGATGATCAAGAAAGTGTTTTTTAATTCGATTATATTTTTCTTGCATATCTACATTTTCTAAATGATCCTGTAATACAGTTAATGCTTCATGCAATTTCGTGATAGAAATAGCACTCTCATTAAATTTATTTGATGAAACTGAAGTTTTGAAAGAACTAATAACTGATTCGAGTTTTTCTGTGAAAACTTGACAAATATACTTATATTTTTCTTCATTAGTATCTGAAAACGATTTCAAAACAAGTTTTATCTTGTCAAGACTAACTTTTACTGAGGCATCATTGATTTCTTTGTCTTGTAATTTTGTAACCATGCTATCCATTTGCTGATCGAGGAATGAAATGAATGCACTATGATGAACAACTTCTTCTCTCAAATGACTTTTTCTTAGGTCGTCGGCAAGCTTAGCATGACCAATACATGTCTGATAATGAAAAATATCTTCATTGGTCAGAGTTTTTTCATCAATTAGACAACGCTTTATACCGGAAGTAGCTCCATTATAGTTCTCTGTTAGATGCTTAATTATGTTCTCAACACAATGATAATAGATTTGTTGAATGTATGGTTGTTCCTGCTGAAGAATAACATTCAAACGGTTCAGTTGCTTCAGTTTGTAGTTGATAAACAAATAGTCAGAACGCTTGATTGCCGAAATAATACTTAACTCATCCTTTACTATTTGCTCTTTTAAAGTAGCGTTTGACTTTCCTGTAATAGAAAATTTAAAAACGTCATTTGGATGTGCAATTTTTTCGGATAATAAAAGCTCCCTAAGAATGGATAAAGGTTTATTTTCAATCGGATCTAAAACTATAGGGATTTTGTCTGTTTTCGCTTCCATGTCTTCAAATAGTTTAATAAAACCAGAATCCATCTTCTCAGCCTCCGTCATCGTTTCTCCTACATTTTTCAACATTGCATGAATTGTTTTTCTTTCTTTCAGAGGAAACTTTGTAAAGATATAGGAAAACGTTTTTAAGTGATCGTTAATTCCAGGAATTAAATTGACCAATGTATGAGTTAAATCTTTTAAACCGCCAAGTCTATCACCCATACCTTTATAGCTAATCAAAACAACAGGTTTAACACTTCTACTTGTTTTTATTGCTCGAACAATACCAATAGCATTTGCGATATCTACTTCCGGGCCATTTGTATCTTCGAATCCCGGACTATCACATAACAAAACATTTTGATTGATAGAAGCGCCAATATCTTTAGTATCGATCATAACTGATGTAATGTATCTAGTTTCTGATCGATTATATGGTGATGTAGTTATCTTTTTGAGATCTGCATTTTTTACTTCGTACGGATGGATATGATTCATTCCATTTATCTCTATTTCCCTCAACTTCGAACCTCCAAAAAAATGAATCGTAGTAGATTTGCCTGATCCTGTTCCTCCAAGAAAGAGAATAATGTCTTGTCCCGTTATTAGCGTTGCGGTATCGTTGACTTTATCAATGAGCCTAAACAATTCGTGTATGTTTAACGGTCTGATCGACATTAAAATCTTTTGAAGTATAGTAAATGCTGATTTCCAATTTTTATTTTTTACATTTATCGCTACTGTTTCTATCAGATCTTGAATTTCTGAAGTATCCAATTCTTCAATTCTTAATTGTTTTCTCAAACATTCATATTCTTTCTCTATGTCACTCTCTATATTGTTTGATGTCATCACATTGTCTTCCAGAACCATTGTCTCACTACTTAGTTTTTTAGAGGAAATATATATCATTCTAACCAGAGATCTTTCTGAACAGAGTGGCATAGAATTAAAGTCGTTGTACAAGTTTTTTATATTTTCTTCAGTGATCAAGTCTTCTTCCTGTAGTGTCACATTGCTCAATTCTTCCACGATAACGTTTTCATTCCCCTTACGTTTTGATGATTTAAAGGCTCTGATTTTTTTAACTAACATTTCAAGATCTTCCAGTTTAGATAAACGTGTTCGTTTCTCCTGCGCAGCTTTTGGCTTTCCTCTTTTTTCAAGATCATTAATCTCTTGATTTACCTTTATTATCTCGTCCTCGAGCTCTGTCTCATCCTTAATTTCATGTTCAGCAAAACCACCGGCTAATTTAGATTTTAAATTTTCTTCATTTTCATCAGATGATGGTTGTGCTTTAAGGGTTTTGACTTTTTCAGCTAATGTTCGAAGATCTTCCAGTTTGGATAAAAATTTTCGTTTCGTCTCCGCAGTTTTTGGCTTTCCTCTTTTTTCAAGATCATTAATCTCTTGCTTTACTTGTATTATGTCCTCCTTGAGCTCTGCCTCATCACTGATTTCTAAATCGCAGAAGCCATTATTTAACTGATTTTCTAAGGATTCGCACGATTCCAACTCACATCTATCCGCAGTTTGCTGGGCAGCTGAAAAAGCAGCTTTCGATTTTTCGTCTACTGTCTGCTGGCTGGATTCATCAGGAAAATTATCTTTACTGTTGGACGATGTATGAACCTGTTCTATTTGCTGTTCTGTTTGTGAAGGCGGAATTAATAAATCTGCTGTACTCACACTTGGATTACTCTTACAGTCAACATCCGATTTGTGTTTTGATTTGCAGTCTGACAGGCTCGATGGTCCATAAGTGCTAGACGCATCTTGCTGTGATTTAGATAGGTTATCGTGAATTGTACTGGTTCGATCATCCAGTTTTTTATACTGTTTATGCATAAGTTCTAATTGTTCGACTCGTTTTAATAAGTTGTGAAGAGTCAATTCTTCACTTTGTGTTGAATCACTACATGTTTCTAATGTTATTGGTGATATAGTCACAGCGGAATACAGTTCATTGAATTCTTGTTGTATCTTGTTAAGAAGAAATGACGAATTTGTTACTGGATCAATGAATTCGACTAGTTGAATCTCATTTGTCTCTCGAAATTCTATTATAATACCCGTCCAATGAGCATTTCCCAAATAATGAGGAATGATAACAATGCGCTTTCCGGAGTTATTTTCAGCTGCATGTTGTAGTCGTTCCCTATAATGACTACTTACACTAGCATCAATAGTATCCAGAATATGGATTGGTTTTGAGAAACCTTGTTGAAACTTTTCATCTCGTAATTTGTTTATTTTGTTTTTCAAATCAGTCTGAATGTTCACATATTGATCAATTGAGTGGTCCAAATTTTTCGCCATATAAATCTGATAAAAGAGTTTCTAAAACAAAATGATAAAATTGCTTAATGAAGATTTTCCCCGTTCTGTTTCCTTCGAATAGCTAAAGGATAAAAATAAGGCTAGTTGAGAATCGAATCCGAAATCAAAGAGAAAAAAATCTAATCATCCAATCGCATCTATTCGCACCCACTCGCATCTACTCCCATCTACTCGTAACCACTCGCATTCATTCCTGATCATATATACTCCTACAAAATAGAGAAGTAACAGTACTGAATAGGCGCTTGAGGGTGAGGGTGTGGGTGGGTGTGGGGTGTGGGTGGGTGTGGGGTGTGGGGTGGGTGTGGATGTGGGTGTTGGTGCGGGTGGGGTGTGGATGTGGGTGTCGGTGTGGGTGTGGGTGTGTGGGTGCGGATGTAGGTGTGGGTGTGGGTGTGTGGGTGCGGATGTAGGTGTGGATGTGGGTGTGGAGTGTAGGTGTGGGTGTGGGTGTGGGGTGTGGGTGTGGGTGTACATATTTGTCTAAACGCAACGCCCACATCCACACCCACACCATACCCAAATTAACATCAAACAAGGTTGATAGTCAACTATCTGAAAGAACAATGAGTCCAAACAATTTTCGATTCACTCGACGGATGTTTTATACTTGTTCAATAGCGTCAGTGGTAATAATGTCATTCATTTCATTCTCATACTGCATAGCGCGTTCTTGTAATTTTGATTTTATTTCAATTTGTTCACCACGAGAATGCTCTAATTTAGCATTCTCTGCATCAGGTTGAGTTAAAATAAAAGAAATATTTTAAATTCAAGAAAATTAATAAATATATTTCACCAATGAATTGTTCTTTAGCAGCTTTTCCGTTACATTTAGGTACTCGTTCTCTTAAGGCTTCTAAATCATTTTTTAAACTTTTCCATTTCTTATTGATCTGAATGTCATGAGGAATATTTTTTAAATTGTTCCAAATTTTGATGAATTAATTATTCTTTTATCAAGTCCTTCATGCGTTGGTTTATCTTCTTGCTCAAGATGTCTAAGACGTCGTTAATAGGAAAAAAATATGAACATTGCAGGAATCGCCCGAAACACTGAAAATCTACGAAATACTCAGTGACCCGCAAGACAATGTGGTCTCGGAAATTTTTTTTATTTTGCAATAAAAAATAGAACGAAATATATAGAAAGATGTAGAATTTCAAGCTCTATCTTGTTATAATATTAAAAATGATATTCCCGCGATGTCCTTTATTAAATTGTTGATTAATTGTGTCTGCTCTGTAGTTTGTTTCTTCACATAACTTTACAAGTAGCGCTCATCCTAAGGATTCGCTGACCCTTTTCTGAAATAATACTACTTCATTGTGAATTTAAAATAATTTTATTCTGAAAAGTCATTTGTGAGTTATAATTAATCTGAATTATCAATGGTTGTGCCTATGACTTGCTTTGAAGTGATTGTATAGATATTGGACAAATTACATCGCATACAACGGCGTGTTTATTAAGTCTTTAAGTTTTCATTGATCATGTCTATCAATGAACATGTTAATAGATATTTTTCGTACAAGTAACTTATTTACGTAGTATAAGGATAGAAGTCATCGTCAATTGTTAATACATGTACTATTACTTTCGATAAAGAAGTTGTCTCCCTTACGTAGTTCATGTTCATTGATATCGAATCTTTCTTTGTTCAGTCCTCAATGTTTGTTTATTCATCTGAATTGAGCAAGTCCAAATCGATAATAAAAACATCAATATTTGTCGAACGAGATTAATCTACTGCCATTCAGTAGTCACTACAAGAAGATGGTAGTTTGCAAAAACGAATAATACTATTACTTGCTGTATCGGCAACATGAGATATTTCTTATATTGATATCCTACTACGTTAGAAATAATATTTTGATAGAGGGTACCGTTATATTTTCGAATATAGTAAATAATGAATTTTATAGCAAATAAAAGTCTGTCGAAATGGGATTTGTTCATCCGAATCAATAAGAACTATAAATATTATTGGCCGACGAATTTTGAAAATTTCTAGAAATTTATGAATCACAGGCATGGCAGCATATTCTGCCACATAAGAGATATCAAACTCGATTACATCTCTTCGGAGAATATCTCAAGAAATCCCGTTATGTCCTATGGTAAGAGGGCACTAGTACAATTCGTCGCACGACAATTCGTCGCGTACAATTCGTCGCAATCAATTCGTCGCGATCAATTCGTCGCAAAACAATTCGTTGCACATGTATTGTAGAGAATACATTGATTGAATTAAGTGATTTAGTTTACAATGTTATCTAATTAATCGTCTAAACAAAAATTTTTCTTTAGACTCTTTGGAGTCTTTTTCAGAATACAATGGTTTTTCAAAAATAAAATAGAGATATCAATTTAAAGCCTATTTTAAAATTTAATTTAAAAAAATTGAAATTTGATTTTAAATAAAATTCTATGTAGATAAATGAAAAATACAACTCATTTTTTTCAATTGAAATTTAACTTTTTATTTAAAAAACGCTGAAAATTAAAACAAAAATATAAAATTGAAAACAAATCTTACAAATCTAAATTAAAAAAAATAAAGTTTTTTATTTACTGAAAACATGAATTTTAGGGGTCAAACAAACTAGAAAAATTAAAACTGAATTAACCACTAATTCGTCTTAAAAAGATGGTTTAAATGTGAATTAATCAATCACGGTTCTTAATTCAGTTTTAATTTTTCTTGTGTGTTTGACCCCTTAATGAAAGAAAAATGAAATTTATTTTTAATTTGTCTACATATAATTTTATTTAAAATCAAACTTTAATTTTTTTAGATTAGATTTCTGAAATTTTTTTCGATTTTATATTTTTGTTATAATTTTCAGCTTTTTTTTAAATAAAAAGTTAAATTTCAATTGGAAAACATGAATTTTATTTAAAATCAAATTTCAATTTTTTTAAATTAAATTTTAAAATAGGCTTTAAATTGATATCTCTATTTTATTTTTGAAAAACCATTGTATTCTGAAAAAGACTCCAAAGAGTCTAAAGAAAAATTTTTGTTTAGACGATTAATTAGATAACATT